TTTACTTGCAGAATATGATTACAGCACGAGATGGCTGAGACATACGATCTGTATAGACTTTGAGCTTCATCTTCTTCGTTTTTCTTCTGCTGATTTGTGGATCAGAAAGTTGCAGAAGACTGAAAATGGTGATAATCTGGGAAGAAGTGTGTGACTAACAAATTAGCCTTGCTGTGTTTATAATAGAGAGTAAAACTCCGTGGCGTTTCTTAGTAGAAAACGGCAAACAGTTTCTTAAATGGTAAACACAAACGAACTTATTGAACGTGTACGTACCAAAAGAAAAATACAAATAATTTTTTTTTTTTCACATAAAACCATGTACATAGCATATTTGTTAGTTAAATATTTGAACAGAATAACCAAATAGTTTTTTCACAATTTCATGGATCAAAAATTCCCAAAAGTTCTAACATTTTTCGCTATCGTCTTTATATTATGTAATTACATGAACATAACACTGTATCAAGTTAATGAAATCTTGATGTTAAAAAAATCAACCGGTAAGAACAAAACTACATAACCTACGGTTATATTTATCGCTGTATATCATCATTCATCAATAAAATAGTGTTGATTTTCTCAAATAAATTACAAAATCCAATCTATACCAACTTGTTGATTTCTCAAGTAAATTATCAAAAGTAATATCAAAAGCATCTCGAAACCTTTCAAACTTAGCATTAGAATCTCCATATACCAAACCAGGCAAAAGCTGATGAACAATGTAACTTCTCGTATCCTCTCTTTCCCTCAGAGTCTTTGCCATCAATTTCTCCACCACATTTACTCTCTTTCCCTTCACATCTTCTTGGTTTATATACACTGAGTATCTCTTATGATCCTCCGGAAGATGCCACGCGTACTGATAATATGCAGTGTACGGATTAAAAATCACCGGAATACAACCAGAGATTAGTGAATCGAAAACCGATTTCCTCGTTGGACTATCTCCTGACGGTTGCAGACAGAACTCTGAATCTTGAAAAAGCTTTATGACATTCTCAGGCTTGTTACAACTTCCATTAGTACAGTTTAAGAACCGGCATTGGTCAGAAAATGTTCTGCATTGTTCAATTAGCATTGACCGGATGCTATTAGGGTTACCGGGTCTTGCACCTCCGGCGAAACTAATTAGATTCCGGCGAGGTTTGCTGATCATTTTGAGCTGCCAGCTGGTGATATCCTTATCCGTTTTAGGGTGGAAGTAAGTCGGGTGCGGGATTGCGATGTCGTTGACTTCCCATGGATGTCTTTCGATTAGAAGCTTTGTAGGGTTTTGCATTTCTTGTAACTCAAGGAACCTTGAGCCCCAAGGAATCTTACTTCTTCTAAAATCCCAAGAAATCTTTCCTAGGACAAACACATGATCTTTCCCGGATTTTCTCTTCCACGATTCCTTGGATCCAAGCCATTTCAAAACCTCCATCCCTAACCGGTCCTTCACATCTTCCGAAACATTCTTGAAATGCCACCTCAACACATCGAAACCGCCATAAAAAGGGACATAAAATATCTTAGCTTGGCTTTGGTTGTAAACCCTACATGGATGCTTCAAAATTCTAGAGTGTAATATCGGTTCAAGAGCATATTGATGTGTCCTAAACCAACCTTGACCAAGATTCTCAATTGCTTCTCCAAACCCTTCATTCTTGAAAAACTTACACATGTTAGTCCAAGGAACCATATCAACACATTCAACCAACAAATCTTTGTTGAATTTAGACGGTAAATCATAAACATAAAGTCCTTTTCCTTCACAAGATCCTGGATTTTTGCGATTTTTCCTAGTTGATAGCCATGATCTTTGTACTTGAAGATACTTAATCACTGCCCTGAACGCGTATCCTTCTCCTATACTCTTAGGTTTGATGTATTGGTATTGTTCTTCCTTGGGTTTGTTCTTCGGTTTATGATCATTATACCGCTTTTTATCTTCACCGAAAACTCTAACTCTGGCGAAAGTATCTTTCTTTTGGGAAGCCATATCTCCATCTTTAATAAAAACAACAATTGGATCGTTGAGTTTCCTCGAGGAGATGATGATGGTCGAAGATAACAAGTGATAAACAAGAAATAAGAGAAGAGTCGTGAGAGGAATTTGATAGATTACGGATTTATTGAAGTGAGAAGAAAGATTTTTACAGAAGAGACGAAGGTTTTCTTTCTTCTTGGGCGTTGTTGGCTTTCTCTTTGAGACCAAGATAGCCATTTTCAGCTCGTTGTTTATTTTCTTCACTTAGGATCTTATAGATTTTTTTTGGTTTGGGAACCTTTAAAAAACAAAACAAAAATTACTATGATTCTTTACCTAATTAGAGGAGACATCTGCATGAGTAGTATTTATTTATTTATAACTAAACCTTGATATCTTTCTTGACCAGAAAAATGAAGAAGACATCTTTCTTAATAATGCCAACCATGAAAAATTTACAACTTATCATATATTAAACATTTTATAAATGTATATTTTAATGTTGAGATTTCCAATTTATATATAAAAATTAATGCTCAATGTATATAATGCTCACTGTATATTTTTGTTTCTAGAAACAAATCGAAATAAAAACTATGAAAGATATTTAAATGTTATTTTAGTTGTACATTTTTTTTTTTGAAACTAGTTTTAGTTGTACATTGCTTAATTAATTGTTATCTTTGTGTCATTATTTGGTTCAAACCTACCTAATGCATATAGGTGGAGAAAAAACTATTTGAAAAAGGTTGACAAAAAAAATCATTGTTAAAAGAAGTTGTAAACAAATAACTTAAATTAAATAAGGTTGGAAAAATGAATTAAGATGAAAAGGATGGGGGAAAATAAGTTATTGATGGAAAATAAGGAATGTGTGAATAAATAAAATCTATAGATTAAAATGATGATCAGGAGTTCAACATCGCTTTAAATATCAATAGTGAAGACTATATATACCATACACATTGATATTTAAAAACAAGTAAAAAAAAAATATACATATTTATTCCGATTTGTTAATTTTCTCAAGTAGACTATCGAAAGTAATATCAAAAGCATCTCGAAACTTCTCAAACCTAGCATTAGAGTCTCCATAGACCAAACCAGGCAAAAGTTGATGAACAATGTAACTTCTCATATCCTCTCTTTCCCTTAGAGTCTTTGCCATCAATGTCTCAACTACACTTACTCTATTTTCCTTCACATCTTCTTCACTTATATACACTGAGTATCTCCTATGGTCTTCCGGAAGATGCCACGCATATTGATAATAAGCCGTGTACGGATTAAAGATCACCGGAATACAACCGGAGATTAGTGAATCGAAAACTGATCGCCTCGTTGCGCTATCTCCTGGTGGTTGAAGACAAAACTCTGAGTCTTGGAACAGATCAATGACATTCTTCGGATTCTTGCAGCTTCCGTTTGTACAATTCAAGAACCGGCATTGGTCGACAGATAAAGATATGCATTGCTCGATTAGCGCTGATCGGATGCTATTAGGGTTTTCGGGTCTTGCACCTCCAGCGAAGCTCACTAGGCTCCGGCGAGATTTACTCATGATCTTGATCTGCCATCTGGTGATATCGTCATCTGTTTTCGGATGGAAATAAGTCGGGTGAGGAATGGCGATGTCGTTGACCTGCCATGGTTGTCTTTCGATGAGAAGCTTGGTTGGGTTTTGCATTTCTTGTAACTCAAGGAACCTTGAGCCCCAAGGAATCTGATCTCTCCTAAAATCCCAAGTAATCTTTCCTAGGACAAACACATGATCTTTCCCTGCGTTTCTCCTCCAAGATTCCTTCGATTCAAGCCATCTTAAAGCCTCGATCCCTAACCGGTCCTTCACATCATCAGAAACATTCCTATAGTGCCATCTCAAAACATCGAAACCACCATAGTAAGGGACATAAAAGAGTTTAGCTTGGGTCTCGTTGTAAACCCTACAAGGATGTTTCAAAATCCTAGAGTGTAAGATCGGTTCAAGAGAATACATATGAGTTCCAAACCAACCTTGACCAAGATTCTCAATAGCTTCTCCAAAGCCTTCATTCTTGAAGTAACTACACAAGTCAACCCCGGGAAGTATATCTTTGCATTCTACCAACAAATCTCTGTTGAATTTCGACGGCAAATCATAAACATACACTCCTTTACCTTCGCAAGATTGCGGTTTATGGTTGTCTCCCGGAGATAGCCATGATCTTTGTAGGTAAAGATACTTGATAACTGCCCTTAATGCATATCCCTCTCCTTCACTCTTAGGTTTGATGTATTTGTTGTATTCTTCCTCGGCTTTTAGGTCAATTAGTGAATTGAGATCGACCTTGTTCTTAGGTTTGTCTTCTTGTTCCTTTTTAATTTCACTTTGAAGAATCTTGGTGGGATCATTAGAAACTCTGTCTCCGACGATCTCTCCGGCCAAAGTACCGTTCTTTTGGGAACCAATTTCTTCAAATTTATCACCAAGAACGGTGGGTTTGCGTTCTTGGTCAGGAACATCATGCCCCTTCTCGGTGGGATCACCGGAAAATCTGTCTCCGGCGGTCTCTCCGGCCACAATAACATTTTCTTGAGAACCATTTTGATTACGTTCTTGATCAAAAATTAACTCAAGATTCTTAGGTTCACGTTTATGATCATCAGAAACTCCATCTCCGGCGGTCTCTATGGCGAAAGTATCATTCTTTTTCGAACCCAATTCTCCATCTTTATTACCAAGAAAGGAATCAAGATTCATGGGTTTGCGTTCTTGATCAAGAACATCATACTCTGTTTTATCGAAAACTCTATCTCCGGCGGTCTCTCCGGCAAAAGTTTCATTCTTTTCAGAACCAATTTGAAAACCGGGTTTAGAACCAGCAGTGAGACAATAAGGATCGTTAAGTTTCCGAGAGAAAACACAGATATGGAGAACATTGTCGGAGATTACAGTTGTGAAAGATAACCAG